TAACCTTTGGGGTTATATAGGGGTTATATAGGGATTGTACTACCCCAAAAAGGTTAAAGGTTACCTACCCTACTGCTAGGTTTTTGTGAACTTCAGAGAATGATGGACACCAACACGGACCTCCTTAATGCAGGGGCCTTGATTGTTAGAATACGGATTTGGGGTATATTATACTATAACGAACCCGCCAAAAAAGTATATGTAAATCCGAACCTATGACCTGCGAGCATTGGCACAGGGAGCATTGGATGGGGTTTGGGGTGGGCGGTAATGTAAACGCCTGATTGAGAAACCCCCCTTCATAGGTCATACGGCTGATGGACAAAATCCTGCATGACCTTATATACCTAAACTATGGGGTTTCATGGTACTATACTAGATTTAGGTCATGCAGAATCTGGTCCATCAACAGTAGGGATAAAAACCAGGGGGTCTTGGGAAAAGGCCCTTAGGGACAAAGACGAGTCCAGCCGGGAGAGTTCCTGTATTATGGGGTTCGGGTTGAGCGGTTTAAGGGTTTAGGGTTGAGGGTTTGGGGTTTAGGGTTTAGTAATCGCATAGTTACTTCGTGTAGGATACTTTTTACGAACTAGACCCGGTTGTGCCGACGGCCTTCCAGTGGGCTGAGTCCCACGAAGACCATTCCTTGCTTCCGCAATGCAAGAAGACGACACTTGGAGGGTCGGGGGACTTAGTAAATTGTTATTTTTATAGACTTATAAGTACTATAACCCCAATTAGGGTCCCTTTTAGGGTACTTATAAGTCTATTTATTACCTACTTACTAAGTCTCCCGACCCTCCAAGCAAGCTGTTGAATACAAGACCCTCCAGAACTGAATGCAAGGTTCACCCCTCAGAATAGGACTGGAATGTTGGACTCCAAAACTGTCTGGTGCTTAGTGGGGAATGGGGGAATGGGTTATAGGGGCTACTATAAGGGACCTTAAGGGACTATCATAGGGATCCATTCCCCCATTCCCTACTAAGCACCAGACAGAAATTGACAAAAGTCTAGGTTCCCCAGTAGCCCCTTCATAATCAGGGTACCCTTTTCCTACCATTTGGCTTTGGTAAGGGAACCCACAAAGAAAAAGGGCAAAAGGGTACTACTGGGGTTTAGGGTTTAGGGTTTAGGGTTTAGGGTTTAGGGTTTACCTAAAAAATGGACAAAAGTTGGGTATTGGAGAAAACGAGGCTCTTGTTGGCCGTCGTGGTCATCCACCCCGCTAGCTGCTCCGGGCAGTGAAGCCGTGCCTCAGAGGGGCCGAAGTGAGTCGAAGAGCCTTGTGATAGATGTGTATTACAGTTTAGGGTTTAGGGTTTAGGGTTTAGGGTTTAGGGTTTAGAGTTTAGGGTTTAGGGTTTAGGGTTTAGGGTTTAGGGTGTACACATGTATATACATATGCATCGATACTCTTGTATGTCCCTAAACACTAAACCCTGAAACCTCCAAATCCTACACTCTGAACCCCTAAACTCTAAACATATATGCGTATATATGTATACACACAATCACACGCATGCACACATGATGCCGCCCCAGCCAGGGAAGAGGGCCTTTCAAGCCAGGGGATCAAATTCAGACCTCGAGATAGCCTGATCTGACTGCTTTCTAGTCGAATTTTAACCCCAAACCCTAAACCCCAAATTACTAGCCCTACTACAAGCTTTGCCAAGGATCTTGTCCCACCGCGAAGATCAAGTGCGCTTTTCGCTGCCGAGCCAGAGGAGTCCTTTTTGTGCAGCCTCCTTCGCTGACTGGCATCACGCATATCGGCCAGACTGTGACCTTCGGGACACCAACACCACAGAGACATGAACTCAAGCGGTATAGTTAGGGTTTAGGGTGTAGGGTTTAGGGTTAGTTTAGGGATGAAGCGAACTACTACCCCGACCTCATGGGGATCAGAGAGTGTCAACCTTATGTTCGGGTCATTCTTTCGGGCCTCCTGTTGCAGGTCCAATTGCATCGAAGGCAGCGACAGGAACGACGCGAGCGCCGCGGGACAATGGCATTAGGCGATGCCTGTGCTGAACGCATGTGGCAGACACAGGCTGCTGCACTTCTCTAGTATGCATGGAAGATGCACAACCGGAAGCAAATATACCAATAAAGTTGCAAATGCATGTATATATGTATACATATGTACACATAAACAAAAAAATGAATGACTGGAAAGACAGTTCTAAACACACACATAATATAAACAACAAATACATGATTACGCACACACACACACACATATATATATATATACATACATACATACATACATACATACATACATACATACATACACACATATAGACATACATATATATATATATATATACATAATTATGCATGTATATGTATATACACAAATATTTATGAGCAGGTCTATATATATATATAATGATATGTGTGTATATGTATGTATGTATGTATGTATGTATGTATGTATGTACGTACGTACGTACGTACGTACGTACGTATGTATGTGTGAATTTCTGTTGTGTGTATATGTACGCATAATATTTAATATGAGGCTTAGGTTTGGCTGACCCCACATGCCCCGAATGCTTGAAGATCAATCCGTCTAATCCGAATCCCCGCTGAATCCGGGGTGCACAGTTGGATTGATATTCGGATGTTCCACACCCTTGGCGGTGCTCGCCCCGCAGCCCATGGCGGTTGCAGCCCTTTTGGGCACGCAAGATGGGCCGCTCTGTCACTGCAGCACCCCCCCGCTGGACAAGAACCCTAAACCCTAAACCCCTAAACCCTAAACCCTAAACCCTATAAACCCTAAACCCTAAACCCTAAACTAACCCTAAACCCAAGGGGACACTTGCAGCTTTGGAATCTAAGGCGCGCCTCAAGGCGTCTGACTCCGCCTACGGAACCCTCGAGCCCAGGACAGTACGGGCGAGCGTTTTTTAGGCTTTTTGTCTGCCTCTGTCTGTGTGTGTGTGTGTGTGCAATGTAGGGGTCTTCACACTTAGAACAGGGGTTTGGGTTATAGCATTCTATAACTATAATCAGGAACCCCCACAATAGTCTAGGCAATTATTTCGGCCCCTTTTCTCATGTGCTGTCCCGGATGCACAACAGAAGGGATCTCTGCTGAAGGTCCGGGTTTTGAGGGTCTAAGCCTATGCCTGAAAATATGAACAAACAAACGGGGTTTAGGATTCAGTAGGTTGGGTTTAGGGCTTAGGGTTTAGAGTTTTAGGGTTTTGGGGTTTAGGGTTTGTAGGGCTTAGGGTTTTGGGGTTTAGGGTTGCGAATCCTTGGTTGGAGTTTTGGGGTCAGGGTGTAGGGCTGGGGGCTTAGTGCTGCACTTGCTTATTGCGAACAACATGTGAAATTCATGTCCGCATCGAGATAATCAATATGCAAGCATCGACATCATATGAATACACATATACGCACATGTACGAAGACACCTAATCACATGTATTCCATGCACACACAGATGTTTAGGGCCTAGGGTTATGCTTATATGACTGCTTATGCATACGAATATGTGTATGCATAAATAGAGACAGATAACCTGATGAGGCACCCACGGGTATCAAGAGAGTTCTACACACCGAAACCATCGGCATACCTGAGCGCGTGCATGATGTCATGTTAACTTCGGGGCGAAAAGCGAAACATGCAGTAGCTACTGAAATGCTCATGTGCATTCTGCCGGTTGTCTCCATTGTAGTTTCGTTTTTGGTTCAACCAAGTATATGTTAAGGATCCTGCAAGGTAACCCCAAAAAGGAACTACAATGGAGACAAGTGCTGGTGGCATGACTCGTCATGGCGTTGCTGGTTCCAATCAACAGCAGAGCTGCCAAGAACCCAAAACCTTCCCCATGGATTAACCACTACAGCTGAGGGTATTTAGGGTTTTAGGGTTTAG